ATTAAAGTTTTCGACAGTCACTGTGGAACTCCCCTTGATTTTTCTGTGCACTTTGTGCATGTCTGAAGAGGATAGAAAGCAGCGTTTAAGGCAAAGAAAGTGCTCAATTTTGGTAGAGCAGCCCTATCATTTGTGCTGGCATAGGCTGTAACAGCCTTCCAGTCTTGCAGCAATCCTTGTGAATAACATCACACATCTTGCTGGTCTGTCCTTAGCCTTCTTGAATAAGCCCCTTCTCTGCTTCCTAGTCACCTGTATCAGCGTGATGTCATCCAAAGTCAGGGTGGCCTGAAGAGGTGCTTGCAAGTGCGTAAGTCTTTAAAACATAACATACTATATGTGATTTTTTTTCAGCTGTTTGAATTGCCCTATGCTGTTAATTGTTTGTGCTGAGCTGGGATCTCCAAAAAACAAGAAAAAACAAGCCTGAAACTTGAGTTTAAAATCTCATGATGACTAATCTTTTCTACTGGGCTTTTCCCTTCATGGGATGAGAAAGAGAGAGAGACACACAAGAGGATGTTTGTGTCAAGGCTACTTCCCCACTCTGAACTTTAGGGTACGGACATGGGGGCCTGCATGAAAACTTCTAAGCTTAACTACCAGCTTAGATCTGGTCCACTGCCACCACTCCTAATGTGCTAATTCCCTTCCCTGGGTAGCCTTGAGAGACTCTTCACCAGTTCCCTGGTGAATACAGATCCAACCCCCTTGGATCTTAAAACAAGAAGAAATTAACCATTCCCCCTCCTTTCTTCTACCAACTCCTGGTGGATCAAGATCCAACCCCCTTGGATCTAAAAACAAGGAAAAAATCAATCAGGTTCTTAAAAAGAAGGCTTTTAATTAAAGAAAAAGGTAAAAATCATCTCTGTAAAATCAGGATGGGAAATAACTTTACAGGGTAATCAAACTTAAAGAGCCCAGAGGACCCCCCTCTAGCCTTAGGTTCAAAGTTACAGCAAACAGAGGTAAACACCCTAGTAAAAGGTACATTTACAAGTTGAGAAAACAAAGATAAAACTAACACGCCTTGCCTGGCTGTTTACTTACAAGTTTGAAATATGAGAGACTTGTTCAGAAAGATTTGGAGAGCCTGGATTGATGTCTGGTCCCTCTTAGTCCCAAGAACAAACAACCACCAAAAACAAAGAGCACAAACAACAGCCTTCCCCCACCAAGATTTGAAAGTATCTTGTCCCCTTATTGGTCCTTTGGGTCAGGTGTCAGCCAGGTTACCCGAGCTTCTTAACCCTTTACAGGTAAAAGGATTTTGGAGTCTCTGGCCAGGGGGGATTTTATAGTATTGTACACAGGAGGGCTGTTACCCTTCCCTTTATAGTTATGACAGTTTGTTTTTCAATATTTCTTGGTGTTACCCATAAAAGACTTTCCTGGGTGACTGTCTACAGCAGTTCCTCAATCTGTCCAAGTGTTCTTCAGAAAACAAAGGTTTTGGGGCCAGCTAGGGCTTGAGCTGAGAAATGGGCCCTGCTTGGTACATCTCCACACAGAAAAGTTCCCCAAGGAATCAGTGTAGAGGGCCTATTTCATGCATCATTTTTACAGTGCAATCATTGGGCCTAACGTAAAGGTGCTGCACATCCTCAGGCTGCCAGCACCGTTACTAACCTAGCATTCCTGCCATGGTTAGTGCGCCAATGGGGAATTTTAAGGAAAAGGTTTAGGGTAATCCCAGCTGTACAGTATGCCAGTGTAGACATAACCTGCCTTTCTAATGTAAAACAGCAAACAGAAAAACTAAGTTGTAATGGGGATGGGAGGGGAGTGTGTTAAGATGAACACACTCCAACCAGAAAACAAACTTTCTCCTCTCTGTGACTTGTGCCCCACCCCCAGAACCCAGTGGTGGAGACAGACTTTGGTCATTGACCCACCTCACCTCAGGCATATTTGGTGCTGTTCTCTTATGTCCTGACAGGCAGAAGGGTGATTTAATTTCCCCAAACTCAAAACTTAACTGCATTCTCACCAAAATGTCCTAAACTGTCACATGCAAATGAGACTGTTCAGTCATTTCCCCTTGCTCACCAATAGATGGTGGCAGAAAACTCCCTCGCTTATGGAGCTTCTGTTCATTTTGTGTTCTCCCAGCCCTGCTCTTCCCTCTGTTCACCAACTAGTGTCAACAGCGAGCTCCCAGATCTCATGGGCTTCAGGCCACAGGGCCTATATTCAGGGGTGAAAGTAACTCTGTAGACTTACCAGTACGGGGGCTGGCTCCCCCCACCCCAGAAGGGGCAGGGCTTTGGGTAGAAGGGGCGGGGCTGGGGGGTTCAGCATCCCCCAGTCACTTTCCCTGGCCCACGCTGCCTGGGGCTCCAGTGGCAGTTTAAAGGGCCCAGAGCCCCAGGCCCTTTTAAATCACCGGCCCAGGGGCAGCTGCTCCTTTTGCCTGCCCCCATCAGCAGCCAGGGTGGGGGGGGGGCGTGGTGGTGGGGGAAGCGGGGATGTTAAAGCATCCTTTGCCGTGGCAGCGCTTTAACATCGCGGCCACTTCCCTGTGGGTGGCCCTGCCAGTACGGGCCCTACCGTCAGAGCCGCCGACAGGGGAGGCAAAAGGACCAGGAACATTAAAGCACCTCCTTTAATGTGGGCTGCGTATGGGCCGGTATGGCCGACTTCTTACCAGTACCAGCTCACTTTCACCCCTGCCTATATTGGTTATTCCACGCAACTGGGGGAGATATGGTGTAACAGGGTTGGCACCCACCTCTCATGAGTGCCCCCTTCTGGCTGGGCATGTCTGCATTCTTTAGTTCTGGTGACCCCTTTCGGTGGTTCTCAGGTGGGTTTGTCAGTGACACAGCGGTTCGGCCAAGTCACACTGTCTGCCTGTTGACCAGCAAAAAGTCCTTCCGGGTTATAAGGCCCATCGGAGCCTATCTCAGTGCCCCTCTCGTGGTGTCTCTCTCTAGCCCTCCCTGGGCTTTGGTCTTTAAGTAGTCCAGCCCTGGTATGGGGCTGTACCCCCAGGGCTTCGTCCCTGGAGACACTATCTTCCTGCAGCCCTCCCCATGCTCAGTCCCTACTCAGTCCTAGCAACCAGCCAGGAGCTCCCTCAATGCTCCCCCAGCCCCTGCTAGCAAACCATCCGTGGCCCTACTGCTCTTCCAGGCAGCCAGACCTGCAGTCCTTTCTTCTCCTGCTCCAAGCAGCAACTGACTACTGCACTCCTTTGCAGCTCCTTTTATATGGCCCTCCTGGGCCCCGATTGGCTGCTTCCCCTGCAGACACTCTAGCCTGCTTGGAGGACCTCTCTATTGCTCCATCCCTGAGATGGGTGTGACAGAACCCAGAGGCCTCCAGCAGGGGGCCTTTGGGCCTAGTCCACCTCATCACAGATGGCCAATGAAAATCCACCTCCACATGCTTGTTGGGGGAGGCTCACATTTAATGTCCAGTAACTTCTCCTGTAGTCTTAGGACTCATCCTAAAATGTCTTTACCCTCTGCATTATTTTCAAGAATGTCCATTCTCTTTGTAAGATTGTATTGTATGAGAAAGCTGAATAAACACTACTCAGAGCATAATGGTGCTTCATCTAGAGTCACAGCGTGTGAACTTGTCTAGGCCTCTCCAAGATGCTCCTTTTCAATTACAGAGTGGCAAGAAATGCATTATAGTTCAGGTTCTGTTGCAGTTTACGGCTAATTTTCCAAAGTGCTTTAAAATCCATACGCATTGTCAGATTGCCTGAAAATTGCCAGGTTAGTAGAGGTCTAGGGGGAGAGTTAATGGTTCAAATTCGGAATCATTCAATCTAGGGGTCCTTAAGCTACAGTCTCCCCACCCCTCACACAAATTACCTTCTTTCAAAATGTAAATTTTTTCTAACATTTTTTGCACTGTGCCAGGGAAGGCCCAGTCCTGCTCCTGCCCAGGCCAAACCCAGAAATACGGGCTGTTTGTCTCACTCAAACTTATACTCTGTGTGTTTGGAAGGTCTATCAATCAGTGTGAGTAAATAAACATCTATGAGGCAAGTTTGTTCACGAGTACCTGATAAATTAGTTGTGTGTCAGGCATAACTAGCGTAGCAGCATCTGTCTGGGTACATGGGACTCCTGTTAGGGTTTTTGAAAATGCCAGGAGATCAGCCATAAACATAGCTTTCTCCCTATCCTAAGCCTTTGTTCTCCACTCCCCACTGGGCATTCAGAGACCTTTTACCTTTTGGAAAAAGCCGGGAGTGCCCCGAGAGGAAAAAAACAAGCCCTCTTCTAGCTGCCTAAACGGACATTTTCCCTGAAAAATCTTCTGACTGTTGACTGTATTGGATAAGAACCTGGGACCATGAAAAAATGTCCCTGAGGACTCCTGTAGCCCTGAAAAAGGTGAGAGTTCTTGTGCATTAGCACAACTATCACAAGAAATACAAACTCTGAAGGGAAGCATTATTTCTTGATTCATGATCTTTACTGGACTCCAGCAAAACTGACACAAATGTACACCCGGGATAAATAAAATGTTGGAGACAGACACAGGAAATCCCGATTTAATAGCTGAGGGATTGTGAAAAACTACAAACCCCCTTGTAAATATACAAATAGTGACTGAGCTATTGGAACAGAATGGAAATTTCTGACTGGTTCTTGAGTCTCCCCCCTGCCCTGACAGACTGAACAGGGGCAGTTACCAGATCTCTCCATCAAGTTTCCACATCTCTCCCTCTCCTGGGCCCTGACCCCCTTCCTCCATCTTGCTCACTCCCCCCACAATCCAACTTCCCCCACCAAGGTCAGACCAAAAGCAGAGCAAATCCAGCTCCTACTCCTGTCTCTCTCACTCTCATGCAGGAGGGTTGGCCCTGACAATCTCTACCTAGCTGAAATACGCTGTTGGGAGTCCCTGGGGATGGCAGGGATTCTCTCAAAAAGAGGCAAGCGTCCATCTGTCCCCAAGCTGTTGCCCCAGCTGGGGGCAGGCCAGCCAAACCAGACCCACAATGGTGCAGTATCTCCCACTCACAAGCTCTGCTATCTCTCTATGACCAGATCAGGTTTTATCTTTTTCACAGCATCCGGCTCTGCCTGTGTTTCTTTGGTTACATGCCACTTGGACAAGCTGTGGGGAAAACAAGGAGAGAAAAGGGAGTGTTAATTCTCTCAGTAACTGGTTGAAAGAGAGGAAACAAAGGGTAGGAATAAATGGTCAGTTTTCACAATGGAGAGGTGAACAGCAGGGTCCCCCAAGAATCGGTACTGGGGCCTGTGCTGTTCACCATATTCATTAATGATCTGGAAAAGGGGATGAACAGTGAAGTGGCAAATTTTCCAGACAATACAAAATTATGCAAGATCATTAAGTCCAGAGCAGACTGTGAAGAGTTACAGGGGGATCCCACTAAACTGGGTGACTGGGCAACATCAAATTCAGTGTTGATAACTGCAAAGTAATGCACATTGGGAAAAAAATACAAGCTATACACCCACAACGATGGGTTCGAAATTAGCTGTTACTACTCAAGAAACATCTTGGAGTTACTGTAGCTAATTCTCTGAAAACTGCTGCTCAATGCGCAGCAGCCGTCACAAAGGCTAACCAGTATTAGGAAAAGGAATAGATAATAAGACAGAAAATATCATTAATGACACTTATAAATCCATGGTATACCCACATCTTGGCTACTGTATCCAGTTCTGGTCGCACCCATCTCAAAAAGGATATAATGGAATTGGAAAAGGTTCAGAGAAAGGCGACAAGGATGGTCATGGGTATGGAACAGCTTCCATATGAGAACTAAAATGATTAGAGTTCAGCTTGGAAAGGAGATGATTAAAGGGGATATTATAGAGGTTCATAAAATCATGGATGGTGTGGAGAAAAACTGTTGTTTACCCCTTCAAACAATGCAAAAAACCAGGGGTCATCCAATGAAATTAATAGGCAGCAGGTTTAATACAAACCAGAGAAAATACTTTTTCACACAATGCACAACTGACTTGTGGAACTCATTGCTATGGGATGCTGTGATGGCCAGAAGTATAACTAAGTTAAAAAAAGAATTGGATAAGTTCATGGAGGATAGGCCCATCAGTGGCTCTTAAACCAAGATGCTCAGGGATGTGACCCCATGCGCGGGACAGTCCTAAACCTCTGACTACCAGAAGCTGAGAGTGGAAGATTGGGTGGATCACTCCAAAATTGCCCTGTCCTATACTCCCCCTGAAACTCTATACGGGCCATTGTCAGAGACTGGCCACTGGACAAGATGGACCATGGTCTGACCTACTGTGGCAGCTCTTATGTTATATTCTCTGCAGACATAACGCCTGTCACCACAGTTTCTCTAAGGCACAGTGTGCTACCCACCACTGGGTTCTTTCTCATCTGCCTGCCAGAGCCCACAGGATCTGTGTCACTGTCACTCCTCTGCCTGCTGAGCTCAATGCCAGCAGGTGCCTTTTCCTTGGGGGAAGGGAGGAGAAGCGCTGGTGCAGTCTGTAGCCTGGCCTGCTCCCCCCACACCACACTCACCCTGTGAGCTCTGGGCAGGGACAGCAATGTCCTTTCTGCACGTAAAGGGCTGGATTGTGCAGCCCTTGCTCAGGGCGGTGAGCACTTACTGCCACGGACAGTCCCATTGATCTCTGTGGGGCTACTCAGTGCTCACAGGGAGCAGGGGCTGCAAAATCCAGCTCACAGAATCTCTCCATGGAAGCAGCAAGATCTCAGCTCTCATTACTGCAGGGGATCCTCATGCCCCCTCCCCACAGGCTTCAGTAACACAGCTCTTGAAGGGGGAGAGTTTGCAGCAGCTGTTGTGGGGCTGCAGACTTGGCCGGAAACTACTGCAATGCAGATGGGAGCTCAACAACCATCCCGGCTGCAGGAAGATATTAAAGTTTCACTTATTCTTGTGTTTCTTTTACAGCCAGTTCAGGGGAATGGGGTTTGTCTGTCTGTTTACAATAAACGTGGGCGGGCAGGCTCCCATGCTCTAGTTAAAAGAATGGTGCTGTTCTACAGGGACCTGCTGGTGTAACCCACCCTTACCCACTGCGGTCAGCTAGGGGAGTCACATTACACTGGCCCGGTTACATTTATATCCTGCCACTTATTCCCAAATGCTTAATTTAAAAATATAAAGTTTCCAAATCTAAATTGTTCTGAAAGCTGCCTTGAGGTGTCTCTGCACAGGCCCACTTATATATCCCAGAAATAAACGGGGATCTCTAGGACTGTGCGCACACATCTTTTTTTAAAGGTATTTGCTACCCCGAAGCTCCACAGAACCTGCTTCCATTCCTCCCATCTGGCTTCAATCTGCTCTAGTCTTGTTGTCTCTCCTGTCCTTCTCTCTGACTTGTTTAAGCAGTTTTCCTTTTCCTCTTCAGGAAAACCACTATATTATCCAACTTTTTTAACTAGTAAAATGATCCCTACCAGCACCGCAGTGGAAGAAGCTTGTGAGCCAGTTCCTGGGTTGGGGGCATGGCCAGTAATACTGATTCTAGTAAAAAGGGATCATTGTGACCCATGTGACAACCACAAATTAAAGGGGCCCAGCTCTAACGTACACCAGTTTCTGCAGGTTGCAGGCTGGCTGTGTCAGCCCCTCACAGAGCAGCTTCACTCCGGAATCTTCCAGTTTGTTCTCCCGCAGGTCCAGCTCAGCCAGGGTCCGGCTGGTGCTGAGAGCGGAGGAGAGCTCCCCGCAACACGCCGCTGTGAAATCGCATTTCTCCAATCTGCAAAAGCCAGAGATACACCAAGAGGAAACAGTGCTTATTTTTGCCCCATTCCCTGGAATCAGTGGTGGCTTAAAGGAGATTCTCTACGCTGGACATGCATAGATACATTACAATGCTCTCATTGACATGACAGGCCCTGGAGGGAATTCCTCTCCACGTGCACCTGTTGTGTCAGTTACTGTGTAGACATGTCCAGTTGACATTGAGGGGTCATTTCTAATGAGTTGGGGAGTCATAACAATATGCTGTAGTGAGCTGCTGGTCCAGTACTGGGTACCCCACCATCTTGAATGAGGTGACGGGAAAGGACTGGGCCCCCAGGTTATTCTGTTAGAGGCAGGGACCCAGAATGACAAGGAAAGAAGTGAGATCCTTGGGACAGGGGGGAATCAGGCAGAGAGGGAGATGGCCAGTGTATGTGAGGGTGAGCAGCAGGCAGCAGGGAGGGATGGCCAAGTAGCAGCATCCTGAGAGCCAGGGCAAGGAGGTTGACTGGGAAGGTGAGAGCTGATCAGGGAAGAAGGCTGTGGCTAGCAGGGGCTGGAAACAGCAGCCCCATTGTGGGGTGTGGGTGGGGGAAGAGGAGCCTGCAAGCAGGAGGGGAGAGGCAATTGCTAAGGCTGGGTGACAGGAGGGCAATGCAGAAGGACCCTGACAAGATCAGAAATGATGGCTGAGCTCTGGCCGGTGGGGCCACAGAGCAGCCCTAATTATCTGCCATGAGAAGGATGGGTTAGAAAGGGCACCGAGGGCCAGCCCACAGCAGGTTCTCAGTGACACACTTGCTATCTGAGCTGTGTTATCAGTAGCTGGGGTGACGCTGCAGATTTTGGCCTGAAATGATGGGTGATGAGCAGGGGGAGTCCCAGCCCCTTTGTGGGAAATACATTCATCCTGATGTTATTTATTGTTTACGGCCAGTTTGGGAGAACAGAGCAGTGCTTCGTTTTCTTTTTTTTCCAAACTTTTGGGAGAGCAGGAGTGATGGCTCCAGTTCAGGGCAGTGTGTACGTGGGTGGCTACTGTCTTAGTGAGTAAAGTAATTTCTTTCTAGT